ATGTCATTTAAATGTATGAACCAAATAACAATTATTTCGTAAACTTTAGATAAACGTCAACTTTGTCCAAAAAAGGTACGCTTACAATCAAGGCGAGTAATTACAAGAGGGAACAGTACCGTAAAGTTACGCACGTCACGATTTCTATCGTCTTTCTGGGTCAACGACTTGCGTTGAACCTTGAATATATTTTTATATCACATAGTTATATATTTGGTCTCAATTTTAAGCACATTAGAGCAGGTACTGAAGGTAGACGAGAAAATTAAATGTCTATTACACGCAATGTTATACAGAATGTCGTATGCTGCAACAATTAAAATAAAACTTTTAGTTTCCCTTTGACAAAAACATATAGTAATAACGTTAGAATTACAATGTCATTACAGTAACCTGCAGTATTTTCGTTTCGCCAATTGCCTTCATTAATTAAAACATTTTTACATTTACCTATAATTTATAACTACTACCTATGATACTTTAAAGCGTACAAAAGAAGCCAAAACCAATTTGTTTTTAATAAAAAATTGTAGTTTAAGTATAAATTCGGCGTTTATTATACACTAGCGGCTCACCCTCGCTTCGCTCGAGTTCGCCTCTACAAAAACAAAACTATTCCACAGGAACCGTATATTTTTCCGGGATAAAAAGGGCCTATGTGTTATTATGATGTGTAAGCTATATTATTGTAAAGTTTCATCAAAATCTATTCAGTAGTTTTTGCGTGAAAGAGTAAGAAACATACGTACATACATCCAAACTCACAAACTTTTACATTTATAATATTAGTATAGATTAAATAAGATTCTCTTTATTTTCTTATTCTTAGTTACATATTTGTAAGCAAGAATAACTTGACAATAAAAATTGTGTTATCGCATATCAGATCAATTTACCCATAATAACTGCATAGTTTACATATTCCTCTATGCGCCCTTTTTATTATTGAGATAAACAGACAGAAACACGTACGATAAAAAGCTTTTTTAGTTTTAATGTCCTTTAAAAAATATTTATGTAGATGTCAAGGACGATAGTTAATTTAATCTATATTAGAAAAATAATTAAACACACAGAACAGGTGCTAAACACGTAAACTGTGTCATTTGGCATTGAAATAAATGTAGTGTAGGTACCTATAAATATTTAAAAAGGCAAAGACAAAAATGTTCAGTACCTTTTACCTCCTCCGTTAGTTAACCGATTTTGTGTCTTTTTATGTTTAGTAGGTAGCTGGATTGACTTGATTGACGAGCTTTGGTGTTATCAATAAAAAAATATATTAAAACAGTTTTTTTTATATAAATAGGTAAATTCTATTCATATATGTTTTCCTCAAACTTTCAATGATAATTATAATCGAAAATCGACAACACTCTCCGAGGCACGGGGGTGAAACACCGCCAACTTCCCAACTCCGGGCTGTTACTGAGGCTTACTAAGCAGAAAGACACAATAGCTTAACTTGGCCCAACCGGGAACTCGAACCCAGTACCTTCAGGTGTTCATCCATACATGCTAGCCACTACACGACCGAGGCAGTATAAATGGACACAAATATCATAATGGAAATTCTCCCGCTAAAACAATTTACGTGAGAACATACAATTAAGAGTAAAATACGGAGTGAACGTAAAAATAAATAATACAGACAGGCTGTGATGAATTTGTGATTTATAAGGGTGCTTTAATAAATAATTTCACTAGAATAACATATTAATTGTACGAATAACTATTTAATGGGGCAGGTTATATGCTATTTAATAACAAGCTATAACCCTTAGAAAATATTTAATCTATATATGTATGTACATATATATAAAATAAAGTCGGGTTAGTTAGACCATTTATAACTCAAGAACGGCTGGACTGATTTTTATGATCATTGATTTGTTGGATTTGTCTCCGCCCCGAATAGCAGAATAACTATTTACCTAAATGCCGAAAAATTTACGAAGAAAAATTACATGACAAACGCTGTTTTATAACAGTCGGGTGAATATTTATAACGTACCCCACGGACGCACCCGAGCGAAGCCAGGCTAAGTAGCTAGTTATACCTATATAAATAATAATCTACGCCAGCATAGCCGCGAGAAAAAGCTAGAAGACAATAAAATTAGCAGTATTTACTACACAAAAAATAATATTTTTACTCCATAAATAAATAAAAACATATATACTTCCTGTATATGTCAATGTACATGTAATAAATCTAAAGTTTACAAATGTATGTAAATTAACAACTACCAAGTCCACCGCTTGTATTGTCAATCATTATGTCAAAACAAGACATTCTGATTCTCTTAGTATATTTCAACTTTCACTTAAAGAGTATTGTGCCACTCACTCTTAAAAACTTTTTTCAATGCGTTGCAGGATAAGTACAAGTGAAACGTTATCATTAATATGGTACTATTTCGTAAAACTTATTTTACCAAATTAAATTAAAATAAGCTTTCAGAACGACAAAACTATGTGGTAATAAACTTGATAATTGCGTTTAAAGTAAAAAAATATACGTTTACCTCAAAATAATATTAAAAGTAATTAATTATTGTACCCTTGGTGTTAATATTCTTCATCAATCGTTAATTAAAAACAAAATAACTTTTCAAAAATTACAAAATCTTGTTAGTTTAGCATATTTTTCTCATTTCTAAATGATATATAAATGCTGATACACACTTAAACGACAAAAATTATATTTAATTAAGATTCAATAGAAGCAATAATTACACGGATATTAATAACCTTATTTATTACAAAATAAAATTCATTTATATAGATAACCCTTGAGTTAATGGGTCATATGAGAAAAAAATTGTATCGTAATTGAGGAAGCTATTAGAATCAAATTAACTAATTTTAAAACCTTTTAAATTGTGTTAGGTAATAAGATATTTTTAAATCATTTTAAAGCATGTTATGTTCCAATCATTGTAAGTACATATAGGTTTAAGTTTTGCTAATGTACTAAGAGTATTTTGTGTAGGTACTATTGCAGGTCCTAAATCCTAATAAATAAATAATCTACTTTTTTTTTTCAGCTTATCGCCGTCCACTGTTGAACGAAAGCCTCGCCCATAGAACGCCAAAAAAATACCAAAAAAATGCCAAAATAAATGTAAGGCTTAAACCACTTGATATAAATTATAACAACATTTATGACATATTATAAGATAATAAGAATAAATAAACACGATGATAAGACAAATGCGTTCATCACATAATGTACTCGTATGTATAAATCAAAATCAAAATATTTTATTCAGTATTAAATTATTACAATTTTTCACTGAACATCATGAGTCTACTACCAGTTCGGAAAGAAGAAGCCTCAGACCTGAGAAGAACTGGCGAAAGAAACTCAGCAGGACTAATATTGACTTGTTATCTTTTTTTAAAGTAAAATTATAATTTACAATATTTCTATCAAGTTGAAGTAGCCTGGAGGCGATCATTTCATTCCCAAGGTGTGCTATCTTCTATAAAATCATTTATTGTATAAATAATACCATACTATGGTAAACTAAAATATATCAGCAAGAATACTAATATAAGTGTAGTTTCATATGAAATTATCACGTATAAAATAAATATAAATTCAATAGTCATAATAAATAAAAATGAATAAGATTATCCTATAATATTTTTAAATTTATAATTCGTCGCGTCTCCGCTTTGCGCCGGCGCCGATCTCCGTGTACGGAGTTGGCTGACCGGCGCGCATCCACCGAATTGGTCAAGTTCACGGCGCTATTGCGCATCAAATATGGTCATCGTTCCACAAGGTAACTTATAAGTTATAACTAAATCTTTAAAGTTAATACTCGTAAATTTTATTATGTATTACTGCATCAAAATAATGTAGTATTTTATTGTACCTAAATTTATCATTTCGCTTTATATTTTCTACTTTAAAATAATAAAAGAATTAATATATTCATTATTCAATCAATTTTTCTAAGTTCCGTTTCATTAACTACACACATATATCACTAATGTCATAAAAACCCAAGCAAATATGTGACCTTGCATTTTAACGTACATTAAAACAACTATAATAAATCACTTCGGAACAAGAAAAGGAATTTCTTTTACGACTTCTTAATCTGTTAGCGTTATAAATTAATGTCAAATCATGGAACTAAGCATTTAGACAAATCTATACATATAATAAAATTGTAACTAAGCCGAATCTGTACATTAAATATTTTTTTGAAAATCTTATTGAAATAGACATTATTATCGATACAGAGGTCGACTCTATAGTTTTTAGAATTTTTATCTGTCTGTCTGTTACCGCACCAAAGAAAAACCACTGGAGGGATTTTGATGAAATTTGGTATGGTGATGGCTGTTTATCCGGGTCGACATATAGGATACTTTTTACCCTGGGTAAATATCTCATTTCTGAGAAAAAATACAAAAACTGCAATTTAAGAATATACTAATATGTAAACCTAAAAATTTGGTTCTTGATCATCTGAACGCGGGCGGAGCCGCGGGCAATGTTAGTTATAATATAAGTTTTTTCGTTTTGCCTACTAGAGGCAAATACATACATTTCGTTCAGGGCAATTTTTTCAGGGCAAACAAATCTAAAGACTACATAAAATGTACTTTGCACAAGTCTTAAAGAAGCTGTTCACCTGTTTCATAATTGATTTGTTATTGAGATAAAAAGAATGTGAATACTAATTTCGATATAATAATAATTAATAACACGTCTCATTTAACAAATATAACGACGTACGTTATACTTAATTAATTAATTATTATATATTATTAACATACTAAAGTAATTTCACGATAACCAAATTTTTCATCGTAATTAAAATAAAATAAAATTTTTAAATAACTTGAGCTTGCTTTGTGGAGTTTGGTATATGAATACAAAATTTAGACTTTATATACTAAAAATATAAATAAACAGAATAATATATTTGCTGATAAAGAGATGACCGTTATGATTGATATGGTAAAATTAAAGGTTAATGACCAATGGTACTTGGACCATACTTTAGCCGTCTCCTTACCATCAGGCTACTCGATCGTGATCCATTACCACAATCAAGTTCATGGCTTATCACAAGGCAAGTGGCATCCTCTGACCCAACATCATTTACATAGAAAAATAGATTTACGGTAATAATCAGAATGTAGCACAATACTAATTCATTCCGTATCCTGCGGCTACAAGCATCAGCTTCCGCAAGTTCATGGTTATTATGATGATTCATCTTAAATTTTTTAACACTCGGCTTTGAATGTAATTTTTTCAATATATCATTATCAGCGATGGCCCGCGGCAAGAGTTGAGGCATCTTAAACGTCAAGTTCAAGGCGCAACACGCTCTGCTGACCGAGTCATCTCTGACATGCCCGGATGGCGACCGCAATTCACATTCCTTGAACAATACCATTGATTATAATAGTTTATTTCATACTTATCTCCTGAATAATGCATATTTTACACTTCTGACATTATTATTCGTAGTTCACAATATTAACTTGATTATTCAGTTTGGTGTTCTTAATTTTGTTACACAAATAAAAGGATCGGTGTCCAGTGACATTTTCAATAAACTATTTTCGTAAAGCCGATATGTAAAAATGTCAACTCTTAAAACAATAAATACAATTAAAACAACTACTAAATAAATGTGGAAAAAGACCTTCAAAAACTTACCCGCCCATGCTCTAGCGACATAAACAAACCAATTTTTCAAAATAATAATTGCTGTGGACATATTTGCATTCATCTCCAGCAAGCTTGCAAAGGCAAGACCACTTGTCTCTACATAAACATCGACATAAGGACTTTAGTCAAAGACGTTTATGATAATCAAGTGTGTTGGTCTGTGTAAAACAATCAAGTGGTAAATTAAACAAAATAGCGCGAACAAAAAGGCCGAGACAGAATTCCTTTGCCATTGTTAAGATTAGAAACTAGTCAACCGAAGCGCTTATGAGGGTCACACGACACACCTTTTGTCTAAGTCATTATATGTTTTTCGTTTTTTTGCGTGGATTTTCCCACAAACGACAAAAAAAGTAGATGTAATTTAAACATATAAGTAAATGTTTGGCACTAACTAGAAGAATAATTTCGAAAATTCCATATCGATCCTTAAATTCTGTTGTTCTCTTCTCCTGACTATTTTTACAAGCATTTAATTTTTTACAAGAATTTTACTTATTTATAATGCGTATCTCTATAAAATATCCAATACGATCACTCAAACTGAACTAATACTTTTGTCGATATCTCTTGATAAATTATAATTGTCTAAAATACTGAAAGCTTGTAAATTAAAGCACGTCATATTCAAGGCAATATATCAGTGTCAATTTTATAACAAAACTTATTTTTTTTATATATTTTGCTTTAATTCAATGTTCATTGACCTAAAACAATATTCAAACTTAGCACATACATATAATCGTTTACTACATTATTATAAACGTTTTAAGAAATACTACATCTTCTATTTATGTATTCACATAAATTGTGGAATTAATTAAGTAATTAAGTTAAGAGTCAATTTAAACCTTCAAGCAGAAAATATAATAAGTTCAAATATACGTGATTTAAGTTTTTATTTGAATCGAACATTTTTACGTGTATATATTTGTAAACAGGATAATTCATTTAATATGCAAAGAGTAGTTAGTTACAAAGGTTGAAAAAGCACATCTGGAAGTCATGATAATAATATTACTATAATTACAGCATTAAAACCTTAGTGTTTTTAACCAATAGTAGATTTGTGAGAAAACTGAGGTTTTCTTACTGGCGATAATCCAGATTTTAATTAAAATAAATCCGACAAAAACGTGATAATTTTATATAACACTCTAAGAACTCCAGTCCACATGGGATTTCCAGGTTTTGTAAAAAAAACTGCTCATTTGATAATAAAAACAATAAATTAAAGAATATAATGCTACCTCAAACGCATTCTTGTGATGCAAATTACCTCGGTTTTTTTTAAGTACGCAATGCATATTAGTCACTGACATAAAATTATTCCCCATATTAAATAAAATGTAGTATTATAATTTATTTTTTGTTTTATATTAAACTAGCATTGCCCGCGGCTCCGCCCGCGTTCAGACGACCAAAAACCAAATTCTTAAGTTTTACATATTAGTATACTCTTACATTGCAGTTTTTATATTTTTTCTCAGAAATGAGATATTTTCCCACGATAAAAAGTAATATGTGTTGACCCGGATAACCAGTTATCATCATCATACCAAATTTCATCAAAATCCCTCCAGTGGTTTATTCGTGATGCGGTAACAGACAGACAGACATACAGACAGACAGACAAAAATTCTAAAAACTATAGATTCGGCCTCTGCATCGATAATAATGTCTATTTCAATAATATTTTCCAAAAAATATTTAATGTACAGATTCGGCTTAGTTAGAACATATGTAGATATATTATGTATTTATAACTCAAGAACGGATGGACCGATTTGTATGATTTTTGTTTTGTTGGATTTGTCTCCGCCTCGAATAGCCGAATAACTAAACATCAAAAAAATACACAAAAAAAATTACATGACTAACGCTGGCTAATAACTATTTATTAACCCCCGACGCAAAAACGTCTGGGTGTTATAAGTTTGACATGTCTGTGTGTATCTGTGTGTGGGATCGTAGCTCCCGAACGGATAAACCGATTTTGATTTTGTTTTTTTGTTGGAAAGGGGAATTAGTCGTGATTGTTCTTAGCTATGTTTGATGAAAATCGGTCCAAGACTGCCGCCGCCACAAAATGACGGATTACATATTTATTCACAACTCCCTCAATATGAGTATCAAATGAAAGGGCTTTACTAGTATAATACTATACACTATGATATTCACAAAATGGCGAATAACATTTCGGAGATTTTTTTAAATTTTAAATTTGATTTATTTTATCTATTTAAAACGTACCTACCTAAGGACGCACCCAAAGGTACCCGAGCGAAGCTAGGATAAGTTGCTAGTTTTGAATAAATAATACTTCTAATTATAAAAGAATCTAAATTATAATTATGGTAAAAATTAATAATGTGGATTCAACAGTGTAACTTATATTAGTAATATCAACATAATCGATCACGTCACTTTTATTCTTAAGAACTTAACCAAAGAAAATCTAAATAAACTATTACACGATACATAATGAGAGTTGTGAAAGCATAATATTTAAAGTTTAGTGTCAGGTAAATAACAATTTAGAAATATATAAAGAAATCCATCAACGTTACGTAAAGCATTCCAAGTGAGTAGTGGTCTAGATTATATACCGTAAGTCGTAACGTAGTATTAGACGATGTGCAAACAGGAATAGTAACACATATAGGAGAATTTTGTGCGTTACCCCCATGATTACGCTACTATGGTAATAAAGAGAACAGCTTGGCATTAATAAAGAATAATATTTATGTAATTTATGCCAAACTAGCATAGTTCAACCAAATATAGGTGAAAAAAAACCATGATTGCTGAAAAGTATTAGAATTTCGAAACGTCGGAAACCAAAAATCCAAATAAATCCGCAAAAAAATCCGAAAAGATAAAACTATTTATAATAAAAAAAAAACTTTGGATACGGAATATGGTATACCTACTGAATAATCTCAGTAACCAGGACAATTAAAATATACATTACTAGCGACTGACCCTCGCTACGTTCGGGTTCGTCCCTAGCTAGCTCCCCAATAGAAACTTTCATCCCCATTTTCACCCCCTTAAGGGATGATTTCCGCGATAAAAATTATCCTATGTCCTTCCTAGGGTCTCAAACTATCGCCATCTAAATCGGTTCAGTAGATCCAGAGATTACACCCTACAACGTCACAAACTCACAATCTCACAAACTTTATCTCTTTATAATATTAATATAGATTAAATGATATATAGTAATATGAGGCAGAGTTTATTATTAGTCAAATTTATTAATAAACGTACGACCTAGATTTAAATATAACTATGAGTTAGGATCATGTTCTGAGAAGAGTTTCTAAACTTTATTAATAATCCCTATCAAATGCGGATTTGGCAAACAAAGGCAGGTATGTCTCATACCAGCATATTGTTGTAGTCATAGGATGTGATTAACAAACTACAAGAAATATAAAATGAATGGAGAACTAATCTTTAGAAATACAACTCAATAACAGTCGACAAAATAAACTTCTATGACTGTTCAAGCGAAAATAATACTATGACATATTTGAGAATATGAATGACCGGCCCACTTACGGCGTTACTTGCGTCGCGTCTAATTTTATAAATGCGAAAGTAGGTATATTTCTTTGGTTTGTTATTTTGTCCTTCTACGCAGCAACGATTCGATATGATAATTATATGAATAGCTACTTTTTATAGCGAAAAATAAAATAAAAAAAACATAATTAATTGTGAACAACACAACTCCTTCGATCCACTCGATACAAGTGAGCGTGTCAAAGAGCTATAAAAATTGCTAATATGTAAGCGTTTAGTGAAACTATAATAATAGCTTTTTCGCGCGCTTTTCGCAGAGCCGCCATATTGTGGGAAAACACGGGAAAGTAGAAAGTGGTGTTTCATTGTCACTACGAAGGTCGTACTATTATACTGTGATTCTCATAGACAATCTTAGATAACAGGGGTTGATGTGTTACTTGATACTCTTATCTTAATTCTAAAATTTCATTAAGTTTCTCCAGCTATCTGTGCAACAGAAATAAAATTAATTTTCCTTTTAGTGAGAGGTCGGTGTATTTTCACAATAAAATTGTGAAAATATGACATACAGTCATTAAAATATAATTTTGAAATTCACCTTCTTTTACCACATTACTTATCGTACTTGCGAGACTTGGAAACTGTTAGCAAATAAAGCAAACACAAATTATATTAAACTAAACTTATAACTATACTCGTAACCACATAAAACTTTAATGGAATACTTATATAAAAAGCTGTGCATACTTTTAAATTAAATTTATATACAAATAGGTAACATTATAATGTTAAATACATGTCTTATGTAAATTTAGTTAGTAAGCCTTTATAATAAATAAATGAATAAACAGGCTGTAAAGAAGTTTACAAAAATAATATTATCAAGAAAAAGAATTTCGGAGAAATAATGCAACTAAATAACTATATAAATTAAAATGGCGCCTGAATGTCGTCTCATAAAATAATATTATTGTGTATTATTACATTATTAGTTATGTTAATATAGTCGGAGTCCACCGTCCTACCGAGCTGGTTTTTGACGATGTTTATATTCGACCACGATTAATCAACCGCTGTATTACTTTTGACCAAATCGGTAACAGTGACTGAATAAATATGTTAATAGGACTCTACATCATCTTGGCGCCACCGTGGGCTTCAGGTTAAAATCTCTTCTACTGTGGAGAA